CATCGCCCTATCTTGTGGGAGCATGTCATTCAACTCGGTTGGAGCTGTTTCTCAATGATTTAACCTCGCTGTTCTATTCCAACGAGCTTGGGACAATGGGGATTTACTTCCTGGATTGGAGAGTAATCGGAACAAAGGGCAGATGTGATGTCCGAGTACAGTACAGTAGTTTTATCAATACGAAAGTACGCATTTTAATGCGTACTCTGATTAACATGTAAAATCAGATTTGAGCTACTATGGGAACACCTTTTCGACCGGAAAAGGCCAGAGTGGTTATTAACTACCGTATATATAGGATAATTGATTATTTAAGAATATCTGACTAATCCATTTTGAGTTCTACAAGTATGCAAAAACGTTACTGACATTTTTACTGGCATTCCATTGGAAGAAAGAACCAAAATGTGTCCAATGACACGCGCAGGGACGGCCGTTGAATCCATCGAGGGCCCATGCGCCATGCAAGTTTTCGCGGTTGTTTCGGCCTCCGAAAGCGTGCAAATGGCATGTGAAAATGGCCGAATAGTCAAGGACGCGTTCCGAAATCTCTGTGGGTTACTGTGGACGAAGTTTGAAAATCATAGTATGACCAAAATTTGTACATTCTCTGCTGGCCTGCCTGTTAATAGTACATTGCTAGCTGTAGGCTGCAGCTATTGGATTGTGAGCTACAGTACTAGAACTCGATCTCTTGCTCCTATCCGCACGCTTGAGCTTGGGCAATGGTCATGCAGTACGACTTGGTCCTCGTCTTGTCGCAGCATAGGTAGTGGTTATCCTTGGCGTAGTGGGCGCTCTGGTGGAAGTGCTGGGCTCGGGTGCCGTCGGACATGCCCCCGACCTTGGTCGTCTTACTAGTTTTGCATCTTGGCATAAACCAAGTAATCACATGGGCCAAGCTCGTCAACTGCTGCTACTGTAAATAGGTTGTTTACAGCAATTTACTCGTTGATCCCGAAACCCCGAAACGTCGCGGGCAAACGACTTGATTTGGTCAAACTTTTGGTGACTATGCCCCGATAATATGATTCTTACTGACGGTAGTTTTACCCATCACTTCCTCATTTTGACTTGGAAGGACCTTGGGTGTTGGCCCCAGTCCACCGAAACCATGAAGTAGTAGTGAATCACTACTACTTCGTTAGGAAGGACCAGCAGCATCACTACTAGTGATGCTGCTGGTCCTTCCTAACGAGAAATTCGCATCGACCATTCGTCATTCGATGTCGACTTCAATAAGCACTAAGGAAAAATGCTACTGAGTGTACTCGAGAGTGTGATGAACTGCTGACACTTGATGCTGGCACGAGTTGTTTGAGTCGCTGGGAACTTGGTACTTATGCATTTTTGAAGTCGATAAAAATGATAGTCTTGACCAATTATATGGCAAAGAAAGCATGATGCACTCTGATTGGTTAATAATCAGAAGTAAGGCCAGCCACCTTACGAATTCCACAAACAAGTCAACATTTTATGCATTGTACCTACTCATGACCATTCGACTTTGTGAATTTTCCTGTGGGCACCATAGAGTGGGTGTGCCGCTCTGATGCAAGTTGAACTTGGCAAGTTCAACCCGATATTACTGTACATAAGTTATATCCACGGCGCACTTTGAAATCATCGTGTCGGTAGACACATCATCATCCATCACGCGTCCATGTCGTTTCACGATTCGCAGCAGCGTGTGGTTCGCAGCCCCCTCCTTTCTCCATCTGCTCGGTCGACGTCACAACATTCCCGAAGCCGCTGGATGTGGATCGCTGGAGGCGTGTTTGTGACTGCCAACGTGCTGGTGTTGGGCAGCATCGCCGTCGTGGGTAAGTCCGTGACCGATTCGTTGGCGGCCATCAAGGCCGTGGAAGCCCGCCAAGCCAGCCAAGTGCGGTCCGTGGCCAACCGCCTCCCGTCCAAGTTTGCCGTGCAATTCGTCACCCCACGACAAGACCAATCTTCGCGCGGCACCTGCTGGGACTTTGCCACGATCGCGCTGCTCGAGTGGTCGTATCGAGCCAACGGTGTGCAACACGGGTGGCTCCAACCCGACGAGTACGTGGCGCTGTCCGAACAGGTCTGGTTCATCACATCATCGTTGAAGTACATGTACAACACCTTCCATCAGCCTATGACAAGGATCATGTAGGCCTATGGCATTGAAGTCATGCGACTGTGCACGGGCCCTGAAGACTCCCCCCAGCAACTCGCTTGTCGCGTTTATGGCGACAACGTAAGTCGAGTCCATTGCCCTTGTACTGTTTGCCCAAGACCAAACCCTGGGAATGATATGTGGTAGGTTTGGAATAACACGACCGAGGGCGGCGAAGCGTATGACTTGTACTACCTTCGCGATGGCCTCAAGAACTCGGTGCTGCCCACGGCAGTGTGTCCTTACTTTAAGCACGGTCACGAGCACGAGTGCCCTGGGTTGAGTGCTGCACTGGATCAAAATCCCATTCAATTCAACGTTACGGTAGGAAGACAGACACCCCTTAACAAAATGCTATATATAGTATATATCATACGCGATACGGATCATTTTTTGCAAATATTGGTACCGATGACAATGATAGTTTTTTATGGATGGCTTTTGTATAAATATTTTTTCAATATTATGATGTACTTGATGTGAAATTCCATGAACTGTAAACATATTGTCACACACGACACTTGATGCATACTGTACTACTATTTACTATGCAGGGAATGTCAACGTACTACGACGACCCGACGATCAAGTTGCAGTTGTTTGTTCAAAACAAAGCCATGGCCCTGGCCACCCCCATGGCTAGTGTGTCACACTACTACCCGTGCATCGGACCGTTCCTGAGCGATCCGCACTGCCAAAAGGACAAGGACACGTGTACGCTGTGTCCGTCTGACCTGTCGCAGACGACGTGCTGCGTGCCATCCCATGGCGGTCGCAACCCCAACATGGAAGGAGAGTTCTTTGCCCACAGTCGGATGGCGTATGCCGGAGCCCATGTTATGGTATCCATATTATTTCTGAACCCCTTTCGGTTCAACTCGCCGACACATACTAATACGTCAATTAGCACCTCGTGGGGTACAACGATGCGTTCCGCAACCATGAAGGGGAAGTGGGGGGGTTTATCCTGAAAAACTCGTGGGCTGATTCCCAAACGCGGGGCAGTCACTCCTTGAAGTGGTGGCTCCAGGAAATCTCCGACTGGGAAGAGCGCACGATCTGCCCCAACAGCTACAAGTATGTGGATGAAAGAGGGTGGAGGTTATTTCGTAGCTAACTTGGCCGAGTAGCCCCACCAACTGGTACGCTTGCGGCGGCACGGACAACAATGCCGACTTGGTGTCGCCCACCAACGCCACGGCCACAGTCGTGTATAACAAGGGTATTGAGGACTGTCTCACCGACACCACGCGGATGTTTGCCAAGACCAACGTCCAGACCCTCGACTTGAAGTGCTCGGATGCGACACAGTGCAAAGTCAGCGACGACGTAACCTACTACGTCCGCAACACGACCGACTGGGGCGACCGCATGACCCTCATGTGTGTGTGGGAGCACGACGCCAAGACCGGCTCGGCACGCGACTTTTGCTTGATTCCAATGCTCGAGCAAAACTTGGCCGCGACGTTCAAGTACAGCAGCCCTTTCAAGTGCAAAATCGAATCCTCGTACTGATGGTGCTTGGCATGTGTAGGCCCAAAGTGGCGTTGGCCAACGACGTTGATCGATGTGGTTTCTACTTCTTTTCGTATGAAGCTGGTAGGTGTTGCTTCTTATAGTGTAGAACAAGTCAAGACTGATAGTGACTACATTGTAGCTCGCCAGTACTTGGCTCGATTCGGTCAATTTTTCGTCAACAGCTTTGACATTGAGTGGCATCCCAGCTCGTACGTGGCCAACGCCGACAAGTTCCCGTCGCGTAACTACACTTTGCTGCGACAGTCGACCTTCCGCCAGAACACGGACGACTTTGACGGGCCTCACCCGTACGCCAAAGTCATACCGCGTACCGTAACTTAGAGAACCGAATCATGGAAACTCCAAGCATGCATATTGAAAGCAATGGGCAAATGAATACTGTATTCTCGTACAACTCGTAATGATATATAACCAC